ATACAAACAATATAACAATCACATATAATATTATTCAAGTACAATAACGTTACTCAACCAAACAATATACACATATGAACGATGTGTCACGCAGCCCAAACAATTCTCTAGTAAAAGTCGTTTCTTAAAACAATTTTGTCTCCTCGTTTTTCTTCTCTTTTAGATATGATGTATTTTATTACTTAAAATGTTTGCTATCAGCTTTCAAAAAGTATTATTTGTCAATGATCTTAGCGTAACGCAAAAGTATTTTGAGTTTTCAAATGACCATTAGTGTATAAACAAATATTTAAACGCTGCAAACCACAAATTAATCCCTTTACACAGTGTACATTTCGAATTCAACTCAAAATTGCGTATGAACATGGACGAGATGCAATTGAAGAACGTCATTCGAGAGATTCTACAGAAATTGGTAATAATTTCGTTTCGCTCTGAATAATAAAAATGTTTAAAACAAGATCACACGTAGCTCGTCGCAATGCCAGCCATTATGCCCGCATGTTAAGCGCCGTAACGTTCTTTTAGTACCGTCTCGGTCCGTTGCTGTCCCCTTCAATTCCGATTATTTATCGCGCGCGCACCATATGCTTTTGTGTGCATAACGACCGTCTATCTACTGTGTTTGCCCGTTGGTCAAATCTACTTTTTCGACCAGGGAGCAATTTCCTTGAAATAACTACAGTTGAAAATGTAAATATTTACTTAAACCTGCATTGAACTGAAGTATTAAAAACGTGGCTTCAACAATTTTTTTCGTTTTGAGGCTTAAAGAGACGATATTTTAAAATAAACTTAAGGTTCTAGTTGGTCATCTCAATCCAACATTTTATTAATTTATGTAAAACATTAGGACTATGCTTCTTTATTCGCTTATTTGAGCAATAATTTTGATGCAATCCATATTAAAGTCACATTGCCCTTTATTAAATCAAGCTTTCAAAATTCTGCGAAAAATAAACCACTGTTGTCATTGCTAATTTTAATTTTAAATTGAAATGTTTCATTATTCAAATGATGAAGTTGTATTTAAGTTATTTTTAATTTTCTTAAGCAAACTAAAAAATTGAAATATTGTACAGAACGTTTTCTAAAAACTAAATTATGCTAATGTCAGTGACTTCTTTTGTCCACGGAATAAGCAGATGTACAGTTAAAACAATAAATTTCATATAGCATAGTCATTTTTATGGGTGTTTAACCAAAGGGTGTAAAACTGTATTATAAGACCATATCTAATTGCACGCATAATAGGGGTTAAAATTTGTTTCTATGGCTTAAACAGTATGTTAAGTTTGTTTAATTGTATTTACCGGGGCGGGCAGGTAATAATTTCATTAGTTCAGCTTTTAAGTTGAAAAAAATGTATTGTTAGTCAACTATATTACCTTTTATCAGACTGAAACAATTGTTTCTGTTGTTACACGACCATAACATATTTTATAATATTGTTTTTTGTACTAACAAATATACAATGATTTACAATCATATTAAACATATCATATACAAATAGTTAAAAATGAATTAGAAAAAAAAATTAAATTGTCAATGTTTAAAAAAGATCATATCAATATGCTTACGATAATTAAGAAATTTTATAACGAGCTTTATACTATGCTATCTAACTATATCCAGAGCTGAATTAAAGATTATAGTCCAGGGTTTGCTCTTAATTGTTAAAATTCATTTTGTTAATATAGCCTTGACTATCCCTTCCATATACATAATTTTCTAAAAGTAAATTTTTGAGATGACCAACTTGGCAGATGAAGAACATACGTTCAATAAAAATGAAACAATAGTAAATCGCAATAAAATTACTTAATCTCTTTAACGCGATTCTTAAAAATTAGGTACTTATGTAATTCAGCGTATTTTAAATAAAATGTATAAATACATAACATTAAAATTTTATTAACATGAAAATAATGAATTGTTATGCAAATGAAATGTAATTTCATATGAATTATAAATAATTTTCCAAAAAATGGCGATGGCTGGCGTAAATTTGCACTACATAGACCGTGATAAACTAACGATATAAATAAATGTAGACAGTTAAGTGTCCAGAAATTATAGTTAGACAAAAAAAGAAGTAGGATGACCTCAGAAATGTCATTAACGACGCTGCCATCCTAACTCAATAGGTTATTTATTGGAAGTGTGATTGTTTTTACGTTTTCTAAATTTTCTATAAGGTGCATCAGTATTAAGTCATATAATGTAATAATATAATTCTATGTTTATAATAAAGCATAAATAGTAACAATTATTTTTAGAAATTACCAAAAGAATATTAAAATATAAGGAATCAAAGCAGTTTTATAATTATTCGTGTAATTTTTTCAAGCGTATTTTTCTTCGAAAAATCAAATAAAAGCAAGTTTTTGTAGTTTCATATCAATAAAGCAAAGATTTTGCTTAATATAACTTATAGAAGTAAATATATTTTCAGTAACAATTCTATTAATTTCCAGTGAAATTGAAAATAAAGCTAATACCCAGTCATTTCAAAGCTAATTGTGTTATTTATGCTATAATTAAATTAACCTTAAAAGCTAAACTGTATCGTCTTTATTTCGTCAATTATGAGACGGTTGTTTTTGACAATGAAATTCTAATTGTAAAACATTATTAAATTAACTACTATTTGAAAATACTTGTAAAATTAATTTGTAGGTTTCGTCGTATAAGCACAGCTGTCTTGTAAGATCCGAAAACTTTTTAACAACATTCTTGATAGTCGAGTGTATTTTTATAAATTTCACAAATATTTATTATACGCACGTCACATTGACGACATGAAAAATGTCCTTGTAACTATTAAATTTAGAGCAAAGAGCGGCTAAAAGAAATATATACAATTTGACTAATTTTCGGAAAAAAATTTTAATATCAAGTTGAATTTGAACATAAACAATCGATAGTTCAGTTAGTAACAGAATTATAATATTATTAGTCTTTTAATACTTAATCTTATTAAAAATAACAAAATAAAATAAATTATTTGAATTCGTTTTACTTATTTACCCAAGTTATACCTGAGGTGTCGGCAACAATAAAAATAAAATAAAAAATGTACGCTGGCTAATACGGATTGTTATGCCCAGTGGATCATGTAAAGCAGTCGTAAATCATGTGAAAGCTTAGAAAAACAACTAACATAGACTATTAAAAAGATAACTGCGACATTACTGTTGACGATTTAAACACGGCTGCGGATGCGATGATTATTATGACCTAAAGATAATGCACAATAGCCCGTTTGTGTAATACTACCACAATAAGAGTAAAAAACGGGATGCTAATAATTCAATGTATCGTTCCAGAATACCAAAGTATTATAACTGTTTATTGAATAGGAGGACAAATTAATAACTCAAATGTAATCCTTGCTCTAACAAAACGATTTTACGACACCCACCGAGATATATACGCAAATGGATCAATTGATAGTTTTTATCATGGCTTTAATAGCTATACTATTATAGATAAAACGCTGAAGTGATCCACTATCATTTACTCCATAATATTGATAGGCAATCCGAAAATATAAAATTATTTAATGATAAATTAATTGTCCAACAATGTAAGATTTATTAATTAGATAAATAAGACTATATGGTTGTCCGCATTACTTCCATAAAATTTTAAGAGCACTCTAGAAATTCTACCGTTTTCTTTACATTAGTCAAAAACGCTAATATTTCTAAATAAAATTGTAGTATCATTTGTTGTCATCAATTTACAAAATTTATTTTATTGAGATCAACCACATTTTTTCGGAAACTAATTAGATTAGATTTTGTAATATATGTGCAAATAAAACCGCATCTATGGAAGAGCACTATAGATACACATGCTTAGGACGACACTGAAATATAAAGCAATACAAATTATAAGACTGTATACATATTTTTTTTGCTCATTAAAATAAAAACAAAAAATTGATACAGAGAAAAATTTTTCTGATGAGTAAATAAAAAGGCCATTGTCGGGCGGTAGAATTGAGTACACCCAATTCCTAAGTTCGACTTTACGTGTAAACATACTAAAATTATATAAATTAATTGCTGTAACAAATAGATGTTTTATAACTCAGTGGTTTATAATTTAAAAAAATCACAATATTAAATCGTTAAATTAGTTTTTATACAATGAAAGGGGTAAAAATGAAATTTTTATAATTAATTTGGTTAAAAAGACGGATTGAAAATAATTATCTTGAAGCAATAGAAAAAAAAACATAAAAGTCATTAAAAATGTATTTACTTGTACATAATAATATTTGAAAAAGATAACTTTGAACTCAATTACCTAAAAATATTTAAATATTTCATTTATACCACTAGTAGTTTAAGCATTCCATATTACTTTTGTTCACTATTTTAAATCTTCTAACTTAAATAGGATAATATAGTATATGTATATTAATGAGTTAATTGTAAATAAATTGTGTAAAGAAAAAATAAATGTTTTTATTTTTTAAATATACTAACAACTCTATATTATAAGAGTTAAATTTTAAAATCAAAGTAATGCCTGCAAAATAAAGTAAAAGTAGAATCTAAAAGAAATAATGTATTAAGTATTACCCTATTTGTTTAAATTTCTCTACTCCAACCTAATATTCATTTAAAATTTATTTCAATAAGTTATAGTACATGATCAATAAGCATACGTGGTAGTAATAAATTTTTCATTTTGATGTTATAAGTTATAGTAAAATGAATTAAATGTATATTTTTTTTAAGTATAACATGGAAAAGTAAGTATTCAATTTTAAAATTATACTATTTTTCAATGAATATAGCACCATAATCCAATATTAGATAATTAAATGGACAAATATAACAATATAATTAATAAGTATAATATATTGATAATTTTAATAAAGAAGTGTTAAAATTAGTATTTAAAAGAGTATTTTTGAAAAAAAAATACTCCTCATTACTCAATAATATTTATTTAGAAAAAAAGATGTATACATATATAATTACCAATTTTTTTAAATTGTGTGATAGTTAAACAGAACACTACTGCGATCCTGTACACTAATGTTAAAAATCCCTTTGTAGTAACGTCACACTTAAGGGATGAATGCGGCGACCACCGCTGTGGCTTGGACATTATCTCCTATAATTCTGGAAAATTTCGCACTAATTATATGAATTTGGCTTTTAACACTATTTAAGAAAAACTTAAGCACTCCGTCACGATCATGAAAAATATATTTTTTATTCATTCAAGTTCGTGTAAACATCAATGATCAAATAGAATTTTTATTTTAAAAGTGCCAAAAAAAAACTGTTAAAATTATTGTGGTGACGATGCACACGGTTGAAACGCACGTGACAACTAACCGTTTTAACGTATAGAGTCGGCTGACGAACTAACACAAGCCATTGTCTACCACACACTAGCAGACCGGCACAGTTCAGAGTAAGCAAACCGAACTACATCCGGCGAGGTGGCGTCGGCGTCGGTCAAGTGTAATAATACTATTCCCTAGCGCAACGTTAGCCATGTGAACACTCCAAAACAGTTGGTGAAAGAATTATTTTGATCTAAATTTCATGTCAAACATATAGTTTTATTAATGATAAAGCTTTAAATAAATCTATATCTATATCCGATACTTTCGGATATCCTTTTACTGTCATGACCGATGTCAATGTTAATGAGATTACCTTTAAAATTTCTTTTTAAAAGGTAAAAAACAGCTATTATTAATATTGAAATTGTATTAGCTTTAGTATTTAAAAATCAATGTTTGGATATTTAATAAAAAAAATTCAGCTGTACTAAAAATAAAATAATGATGAAATTTAAATAAACATTTTTAAGTTATACCTAATTTAATTCGGCTAATTTGTGCAATTTGGTATCAGAATAATTCTGTTATTGCGAGCTCTGAAAATACAGCCATGAATAAGTAGTAAATTTGGAAATTTCGACATAGTTATAACATTGCATTACAAATGAAAGTTAATAAATAGCGAATTAAGGAAATATATTTCTATTCATTGACATTCAGTTTCCACATTTTAAAATTCGGTTAATTTTACTACACAATTTTCCATACGTGTATTAAATCCTGATTGTACTATCTCTTCATAATTTTTTTCGTGACTTAAAGGAGAGTTGTTCAATTTACAAAGCAAATATTCCCAAAGCATATAAAGGGTTATATTCTCATCTATGTTTTCGTGGTAATTGGTTAATACAGTATTTGAGTCACCATCTTTTATTCTGGAATTAAATTAATCAATTATTTATGCTAATGTAAAAATAATCCCAATAGGATGTTAGTTTAAAATATAAGTATGATAAGATATTTTGGAGTAAAGCAATCTGAATTCCTCAACCTTTAAAAGTTTATTTTAGCAAAAATACAACCAATATTGAGTAGAGAATTTAATTGACCCCTTCCTAAACATATATATGTATATTTGTTCTTTAAGACTATTAAAACAATGTTTAGAGGTCAGTTACTACTAGATTCATGAATCAAAGAATGATGTTAATTGATAGTATGTACAATTTTATAGGTGTTTCATTTAAAATAACTTTTAAAATTCAATAGAATATATAGTGTTAATTTAAATACAAAATAAAACTGTATAAATGTTTTATTCTTTTATGAATTTTTTTCACAATAATTTATCATGTATGATGTATAATTATTGCATACAATTTTCAATATGTATTTTAATTACACATGTACACGGAAAACATGCAGCTAAATTGCATGTGTATTTAATAAATAAACGTGAATTTTCAATATTTCGTCATTGATAATACAATGTATATTTATTTATTGTTTTAGTTTTGATGCGTAGCTGAGAAGGTATTAGTTTTACTATTATGTGTTTTTTTTGTCTGTTTCCACTTTTTCTCAGCTCTCACCGAATCGATTTCTTTTGACGATACGTCAAAAGATCACTAATCGTATTTAGTCGAAGACATTACCCTCAAAAATACCCTTTATATATTTATATATTACATTGTTATTACATTATTGTAAATCATAAAACTTGTAATCAGATTATAAATAAGGAAATAGGAGATTGTGTTGCTATTGGAATAGTCCATAACTTTTTTTAAATTAAATACTATCTACAGATTTGCAACGAAGCGTTTCTTATGATAGTGATTTTAATCACTGTCAGATATCTTTATACTTGACCCAACTATGCCACATCTCCACTGTGCTGGGTTTTTTCATATATAAATACAGTCTTTGATATAAATGCTAATGTTGAATATATTTATTTGTTTATTTATATTTTTGACGACGTATAAATCCTTAAAGATATCTTATGATTTATAATTGTCACTGAAGGTTGACCATTTTGTACTCAAGTGGGTTGTATAAATAGTATAAATTAAAACACTTATAAATATAAGTGGTATCAAGTGTATATGAGATTTATACTGACACGGCCCGCGTCGCTTCATTATACAGAATGCCCCGCGACTCGTGTCTTCTTTATCAGCCGTCGCCCTACTATGAGTTTTGACTGACCAACACCGCGTGTCATACGCTACGGTGCAAAGTCCAGCAAGTGTCGCACGGCCGACGACGACCCACCGCAAATGATACGGAAGTCTTCTTCCCTTTGTGAAAGTGACAATGCCGACGAACCAATCCGCACCCGCGCACCGTCGCCATCAACGCTGCTAACCTTTTGTCGCCTGAGGATCACACCGGACATCGCGTTGTCGACGCCAGCATAAGTGCCAAGATATTATGCGAAGATTATTATTATTGTGTTCATCTTTTCGGTTTGTTTTATTTTTTTTGTTAAAATAACCTGTTGTTCGTTAATAAACGGCCCACGGGTCTCTAACCAGTGTCGACCACATTTTTGCGACGTAAGTCGTTTCAATACCAATTATAGTAATTTATTAATTTGGTGTAATATTATATTAAATCTTATTTCATATTTAATGTATTTTCGTTAAACTTCAATAAAATTCATAAATACTAAATATTTTCTTTATAGCGATATAAAATTACAGTACACTGTAAAATCACACAAGTATCATAAATTTACAAATTTAATTTAATAAAGCTATACCAAAAATAATTAAAAATAACTTTGGTTAATTTGTACAATAGTTATCTCCTTAGCATATAATTATGTACTCAATTAAATCAATTTGTAACAATAATAAAAATTGATAAACAATCGCACGAAAACTACACAATTATTTCACAATATAACTTTATAAGTTTCTATGATTAACGAGATAAAAATTCTAAATTTTACTTAAAACTTTGGTGTATTTTGATCACTTCATATACACTATGGTATAGTGGCTATACCAACAACATAATAAAATTGACAACTTCATTTTATTCGGTATTAGCCACCGTGCACGTCTGACTAGCTAACGACATTTCAACTATGCCGCAACAGTAATTTTATTTTTAAGTAATCTATTTTGCCTTAAGGCTTTTTCATTCTAAAAACGATGATAATCCTAGTATTAGTGTTTCAACAAGGCATAATACTGATATTTTTATTACAATTTTATGCTATTGAATTCCAAAATTACTAAATTTAATAAATGTTGTCATTATTTTTTATTTTAAATACAAAATATCTGATTAAACATTTATTTATTTGCTCCTTAAAACTTACTCAATACTAATTGGACTCTTATCTGTTAGTAACTAATTTGTATTTATTTATAGTTTGTCTAGCTTTAAAAAATATAAAATGTGTATAACTATCATATCTTACAATTTAAATTCAGTGGAAAAAAATGCGCATTTTATCTCAAGTTTAATTAAATAACTTTCATAAATTTTTGTAATAAGATGTATTAAGTTCCATAAAATATGTCCTCTCTCAAATTAAATTAATTAATCTACTATAAAAAAATGATAAGTTTATAAAATTCTTATTCAATGGAATATTATATAAAAAAATTGGGTAATCTAAGCAAAACCCAGGTACTCTATTATTTTTTAAAGTTGTAAAAAATGACTTTGCCATGGTTAAATCCTATCATAGATACTATTATTTATATCATAACTCAAGATGTACTATTATTGCTATTTTAAATATTCTTATCAAATAAATTTTCTTCAATACACTAGGACAAGGTTCAGTTGAATACATGTTCACCTAATTAAAATTTGATTGGAATGAGATAGATTATAGTATATTTTCAATAGTTTTATTTATAATGATGACAACTGGTACGCAATCATGCCTATTAATTGATAACACTGAGTAGTTTTAATTATTTTTACATAATTTATAGGTATGGGAATATGTCTTGGAATTGTTTTATGTAGACGGATTTAATGATTGGGTTAATTGCAGTAACAAGTAAAATTTTTTCTGGTTTTGTTTATGCATTTGCTTTATCATGCTCAATTTTTTATTTTGGTCAGTTAAATAATAGATATAGTAAAATAGCAATAATTAGCAAACATTTTTATATTTTTAGGTGCTGTAATTGAAATCTTATTTTCCTCGTCATATATTATTTACGTTTTATATCATCAAAAGTTGTTCCTCGACATGAAATGGGTATTTTATTAAAAGTATGACTTTGAAGATCACTATAATTGCTATTATTGTTAATTTAGGTCAAATTTGTTCAATTCTAGCAATCTTACAAACATTAATACCTGTAATTTATAAGCCATTATACAATGCTATTTACAATCTAACATTAGAAATGTTTCCTGTTTTTTTTTTATATTTAGTTTTGTACTGCTCATACCAGCTTTTTTCATTTATTTGTAAGTAATATACTAAAATACATTATAACTATAAGACAAAATAATAGAAGTTAATTAGTTATAAAGTGTCTACATAATTCTAAAAGCGGCAGACACAAAATAATGTAAACATATAAGAAATTCTAGTATGTTCTTGGAACATATAAAAATCGAATATCCTAAAAACATATAAATTAATTTTTTTCTTCACTTTATAATTTGCAGGTTCTCCATTCACGATTGTAGCTTTAGCTATAATTTGATTAAAAGTATAAGTTGAAACCTACATTCTAAACATATTATATATTTTTAGTGTCGATAACGTGCAAGTCAAATCGTTAATTTTAAATAAATACTTCTTGAAAGAAAATTTGAAATAACAAATTTACTATTTTATTTGTTTTACTTCAATAATCATTTTATAGATATTTCAATAATGTGACTACATTTCCAAATGATGCACAAATTTTATCAATTTTTTGAATGCATAAAACAAACTTTCCTTTTAAATATAGTCTTCTAACTTTCTGGTACACTTTAAAAACACTTTTCTCTTTACTTTTCTTGGCTAATCTTGTATTCTATTTTTGTGTCATATGAGATTATTAAAAAAAGGCGCAAAATAAATGATGTGGTAAAATTACATTTGACTTCTCCTTAAATACGCCACTGCTTTTATGTGATATTTTATGCTGTATGAATATTAAATTAAACAAAAACATTTTAAAAC